GTGGTAGTTAATTTTCAGAAACAGTTATGATCAGCAGTAGATTTTATCTGCTGAATTCCTATATATTAATTTATAGCTTTCACAATTTGCAATATATCTTTCTCAGTAATATAGAGAGTAAATAAGATAGCTGGGCTTATAGTATTAATATCAGCAGAAAGATCTAGTACAGACAGACAGTGAAAGTATTTCATAAATTTAAAGTTAGGAGTTTTCATCTGAGAGACTTTCTTTATAACTTTCTTGACAGTTCATTTGCATTTTCTTGCTGATTTTGCTTGCTCTATTAAAATAGTCAGTTCTAATAGCTATAAAGATCTCTAAATAAGTAGAATTATCTGTGAAATTGGATGCAGATTCTCTGTTGTTGGGTTCCTTGTTGAGAGATTCCATTCTTGCTCCAGGAATTAAGAAGGTGAAAACACATTTTTTGAAAAGGTAAAAAAAACACATTTTTTGAAATCAACACAAAAACCAGTAATGAACATGTTTTGCTTAACCAATAAATTCCCATATATTTTAGTATGTGAACTTATTGGTCAGAAAAATGCCATTAATACTGTAGTTTATAATCTGGTGCCAAGGCGCTAATTTTGCCTGGCGGCCGGACGAGGGGATAAAAAGATACTAGAATTTAGTAAAGATTGGTCAAAATTTGCGGAGATTAATTTAGCTCAGCTATACCAAGAGTATCAAGTTGATAGAGCTGATTTAGTGCTGGCATAAAGTCTGGAGAGCAAAGATCAAATGAGAAGAGGTAGAAAGATAAGATAAAAGTAAATAAAATAAGAACTCTAGCTTACTTGGTACATCTCAACAAAAATATAAGTAAGCAAGAGTCTTGACAAGGAAAATCAAAATAAAAAAGTGTTCAGTAAGGGATTTTTCAGATAGAAATAGTATAATAACACAACAAATAATAAAGATATAATAAAGAAAATTTGAAGTTGGTATAAAGAGTGTTATTGAGGTTGTCTCTCAAATTTCAGATGAAAAAACCATGTAGTTACTAAGTAATAGTGTGAGAAGTTAGATAATAGATCTTTAATTCTCTATTCAGATGGATTAAAAGCTGAAGAAAATCAATATGCTGGTGCTGATGTATATAATTTACAAGATAATATCAGATTCTCATGAAATCTAGATAAATATCTTGAAGTCTTTAATGCAGAACTGTTTACTATAGATAAAGCATTTAAATTAACAAGTTCTATCTCTCAATCTCAGTTAAGATTAATATCAGATATCTAAGTGTTTTCTGATAGTCAAGCTGCTATTCAGAGCCTTATACATCAAGATCTTAATTCTGACTTATATTATTTCCAATCTATAAGAAAAACTACTAAGTATATTAAAAATCAGCAAATTAATCTACATCTTCATTAGGTTCCTGCACATGTAAATATACATGGAAATGAAGAAGCTAATCTAGCAGCAAAAAAAGCTACAGAATTAAATCAAGTTTATTCAAAAAGATATATATCTCTTACTTATATAAAAAGATAAATAAAAGAACAAGTAATAATAAAGTAGTATGAAGATTTTTTTAATAGAGAAAGCTATACAAATCATTACTTTTAATTTAAAAGAAAATTCACATGAAAAGTATTAGCTCTTTCTATATCTAAAAAGATATAATTAGCTATCTGTCAATCAAAGCTTGATTATAAATATTTCAGATCTTATTTAATAAAATTAACTGACTACTCTTCCAACTTATACTATTTCTACAATTATGTTGAAAATCTAAAGCATCTACTATTAAACTGCTTAGCTTATCAAACTGAAAGAAGAAAAATTTGACAAGAAAATATTTCTTAACTATTTTTAAATTTTATTTTTGAAACTGAATTAGATCTAAAATGATTAGTTTTTTTTCTAAAATGTACTAAAATAACTACTAGACAGTAGCTTTCTCAAACATGTTAACTTTATTTCTTTAATTTGTATCACACTTTTACAAGGATTTTGTTTTTCTTTGAAATTTATTTTATATACTATCTGTTATTTAACTTTTGTGAAGAAAAAACATTTCATACTGTCTTGAAATACTTTGATTTTTCTCTTTTTTCAGTTTCTACAATGTACACTAAATAAATTCTAACAGATAAGCTGCTAGATAGTCTTTATAGTCACTGACTACATAAGACTATAATAAATAATAATAATAATAATAATAATAATAATAGTTAATCTAAACTAGTTCAGTTGTTTTACTAAAAGCTGAAAATCTCAATATAGTAGATTTTTCTTTAGTCAGAACTACATCTATTAATTCTGAACTTGTTTTTTAAGAGAACTAGCAAACTATATAGTTGTTCTTGAAGACTGTAATTACAGAAACAGCTTCTAGAATAAAAACTATAAAAAAACTATTGAAAAAGTAGAAAGCAAGAGAGCAAGCTAGTAAATCTAAGAGATATAAGCAATTATGTCTCAAAAATTAGTTAGATTAATACTAGCAAGTATATTTTTTAAAGAGAAATATTAAACTAGAGAGCTTCTTGCAGGGAAGTTTTCAGAAACCAGCTGAGAAGTAGTAAAGACTTATATTCAAGATACCAAAGCCAGTACTATAAAATTAAGATATATTCTGAGCAGAAAGTTAAAAAAAGCATCTGGTTTTTTTATATATAGCAGCACCAGAAAGCAAGCATATCTTTTATCAGATAAAAAAGATAGCAAACCTGTCAAGTTACTAAAGATCTAGTTGGATTTTTTTCTTAAATACAGAGAAATTAATAAAAACTGCTCTGATTTGCAAAGTAGTCTATATTATAGCTTGTTTCTAGTTTGAAAACTTGGTTATTATAAGTATTTAAAAAGCTATTTTTCACTAATTAATTCTGATTTCTCAGCTATTAAACAGTATAGAACATACTAGAATTTAGTAAAGATTAGTCAGAATTTGCAGGAATTAATTTAGCTCAGCTATATCAAGATTATCAAGTTGATAGAGCTGATTTAATGCTGGTGCAAAGCTTGTGAAGTAAAGATCAGATAAGAAGAGATAGAAAGATAAAATAAGAGTAGATAAAATAAGAACTCTAGCTTACTTAATACAGCTCAACAAAAATGTGAGTAAGTAAGAGTCTTAGCAAGAAAAAGCAAAATAAAAAAGTGTTCAGTAAGAGATTTTTCAGATAGAAATAGTATAATAATATAACAAATAATAGAGATATAATAAAGAAAATTTGATAGTTTGTATAAAAAGTGCTATTGAGATTGTCTCTCAAAATTCAGATGAAAAAATCATGTAGTTGCTGAATAATAATATGAGAAGTGTTTCTGATAGGTGCAAAGCTAGCACCATGTATTTTCACTTATATCTCAACAACTTGCAAGGCAAACCAAGTGAAAATTGGAGGAATTCTTAGGTAGAGAAATAGCTTTTAAATAAATGTAGTACCATCTGATTTGAATAAGAATTAACTGAGTTGTGAAAAGAGCATTCTGTGGATTGTTCTGTATACAACTTATAAGATAATATTAGATTCTTATAGAATCTAGACAAACATCTTAAAGCTTTTAATACAAAACTGTTTGCTATAGATAAAGTATTTAAATTAGCAAGTTCTATCTCTTAATTTTAATCAAGATTAATATCAAATATCTGGATATTTTCTGATAGTCAAGCTGCTATTCAAAGACTCATGAATCAAGATCTCAATTCTAGCTTATATTATCTTCAATCTATAAGAAAAATGTAAGGATTCGCCGCGAACCCCTTACACAGACAAACAGCATCCGCGAGGGCCAGAGGTCTCAGCTCGCGAGCTACTGGGAGTTGCATGTGTCCTCGCGAGGCACTAAGTCATGTGCTCATGAGCACACATAAAAGGCTGTCACTGCACAAACCCCTTGCTGGGAGCCAGTGGCAATCTTGTTTACAAGTCATATATAGTTGCCAGAATACAGACCTTTTACCTCATGTACTCTTTTTCCATGTATATTCCCCCTAGAGATTCATTGCCACGCTGATCCACACGTACGATCCTCACAAAAAACTACTAAGTATATTAAAAATCAGCAAATTAATCTACATCTTTATTAGATTTCTGCATGTATAAATATACATGAAAATAAAAAAGCTAATCTAGCAGTAAAAAATACTACAGAATTAAATCAAGTTTATTTAAAGAGATATATATCTCTTATTTATATTAAAAGATAAATTAAAGAACAAGTAATAATACAGTAGTATGAAAATCTTTTTAATAAAGAAAGTTCTATAAATTACTATTTAGTTCAAAATAAAATTTCAATAAAAAGCATCTACTCTTTCTATATTTAAGAAGATATGGTTAATTATTTGTTAATTAAAGCTTGATTATAAATATTTCAGATTTTATCTAATAAGATTATCTGACTACTCTTTTAACTTATACTATTTCTGTAATTATGTTGAAAATTTAAATCATTTATTATTAAACTACTTAGCTTATTAAACTAAAAGAAGAAAAATTTAATAAGAACTTGATATTTTCTAACTATCTTTAAATTTAATCTTTAAAACTGAATTAGATCTAAAATAGCTAGTTTTATTTCTGAAATATACTGAAATAGTCACTAAATAATAGTTTTTTCAAATATATTAATTTTATTTTCTTTTAATTTTTATCACACTGCTATAAGAATTTTTGCTTTTTTCTGATATTAATATTATATACTATCTGTTATTTGATTTTTGTGGAGAAAGAATATTTTATATTGTCTTGAAATACTTTGATTTTTCTCTTGTTCAGTTTCTACAATGTCTACTAAGTAAATTCTAACAGATAAGCTGCTAAGTAGTCTTCATAGTCACTGACTGCATAAGACTATAATGAATAATAATAATAATAATAATATTTTAAAGTTAAAATTTCTAGTAAGTAACTAGGCAAAGTATGCATATAATAAGTCTATACAGAGTATATATAAATAAAGCTGAAAGGAAAAAAAAATAAAAAGAAAAAATAAGTAAAGTACAAGTTCAGAGTAACAGCACTTTTAAACTGTTAAAATGGTGGAAGGAAAAATGGGTAACCTCCACTTTTAGCTCGGAAAATACTCATGAGAAAGCTGTACATGCCTAATAAAATTATGCTCCAAATAACAACACTTGCCTGCTGTGCCTTGGTGTCAACAATCTGTGGTGTTTTTGTGGCTAACGCTATGATAGTGAAAGACAAAAGCCCATCTTGAAAATAAATATTAGTACCTAGATATTCACATTTCCATAGTTTAGAAAAGCTGGGACTTACATATTGCAGCAATGATTTGGCTTTCCAGCCCAAACTGGTTTGAAAACCCGCTAGCAAAATAGGTTATTCCACCTTTGCCATCACCAGTCACATATGGAACCTTTCGAATGTGATTAAACATATGACCGCTCGTGAAGAGAAGGAGGGCAATCAAACTCATAGCAGCCCATATAGTTCGGTTGCGTACAACTGGCAAGATGTAGGGAGAAGAGGCTGCAAAAATCGAAATAAGGCAGAGAAGGGAAGTAGTTATTCCCAGGATTCGGGTGTAGTTTGCCGGACGAACTATATCAAGGCTTGGACTTTCGGGAAGGTGGCGGCTGATCCAGGTGTAAAGCTGGTCCGCGGAAACAGGTCTGGAGTAGATCAAAATGATGCTCCAATGCCAACGTGAATTTCCCTTGCCATGACTTACCCATTAAAATCATATCGAAGGGGCGAACTGTTCTGTCTAGCAGCAGGTCCAACAGTTGGAGGAAAGAGGAGTAGCACAGGGGCGGTTTGAAGAATGAGCTAGCCTCACATTCAGTTAATGTCATCTATTCTTGAATGTTTCTCGCTACCTTTTGGAAAACAGCTTTCCCTTGATCGAAATCGAGTGTACCAAAGAGTAGTCTTGTCGAAGGGTGAGAGGCCTTATTCCAGCTCTTCGCTAACAAATCCCATTCCGGCTGCATATCTCGACATAGTTGACATCCATAACGAGCCTCAACTGCCGTAAGAAGAATAGCGACATGGTAATCGCGAGGATCAGATACAATCTCGTTGTAGCTTGAATCGTCAAGTTGAATTGGCAACAAGGATTTGGGAAGGGAGCTGAATTGGGTGAACTTGTCTAGGCCAGAGACCACATTGGAGGCAAAGAAAAAATTCAGACTAATAAGGAACAAGTTAACTGTTTGCTTGACACCCATCATTTTTGATTATATCATGAAGGTCAAGGCAGAAGAGGTCACAATTCAAGCCTTTCGAAGGTGCCCAGTGGTCAAGTTATTCGAATTACTCTGTACTCCGTACTCCGTACGGAGTACCTGGTATGCCAAAGAAGGTGGCACAAACTAACCATTTTAAGTTTAGCATTGCTTAATCACTTTCTAACTTAATGTTTCTGACAACTTAACGTACTTCCCGGCGAACTTGATCACCCGGCGAACTTGCCCGGCGAACTTGATCATTTGTTCACATGATATAAAACTTAATACTCAACTTGCTTGGCTTCACTGTACAGTGTACAGGCTACTAGTCCTAGGCACCATGTAAAGGTGCAAGCCTTGTCTAGATGTTGTACACAGGCTCTGTATGACTGGAGTAAATGAAATTATACATACCTAGCTGCCCGCTGCCCTAGAAAGAAACCAAAAAGAAAAAAAGAAAGTAGAAAAAGAGATTGTATGTACCAGAGCTTATTCAATAAGGATTGCAAAAGATGGTATTGGGTCTACCACATCCTCACCATCTACAAAGATAAAATTCAAGAAATTTGATTAGTACTTGCAAAGCAGACTATATTATGTGGACAAATGATCAAGTTCGCCGGGAAGTAACGTAATTCCACACCGAACCGGACACCACACCAAGTTGGACACCATTTCAAAATATCTTTTAATTTAACTACTCATCCACTTCAATGCGCAATTATGCCACCAATTTGCAATAAAAAGTCTTCAAATTCTCAAGATTCAAGAGAGAAGAATTGAACTTGCAATTTCTGTCTTCAAAAAGCAAGAAATTTTCTTAATTCATGAAGCAGCAAGGCTATTTAAGGTGTCTCATTCTACTTTATACAATCAGCTAAAAGAACAGTCTTTACAGATAAATTTACATATAAATTCAGCTAAATTATCTTCTGCTGAAGAAGATAAGCTAGTTAAATAAAATACTAGATCAAACTAAACAAGAATTTCTTCCTCAGGCAGTATTAATTGAGAATACAGCTAATTATCTTCTTTCTCTATAGTATTTCATCACTATTCTCTTCCAGATTAGCAAGAACTGGATTTCAAGACTGATTAAACACTATACAGAGCTTCAATACTGTTATTCATATCTTTATAATTATAACCAGATCAAATATAAGAATATGAAGATTATTCAGAGCTGATTTAAGATTTTAAAAAATATAATTACTAAGTATGAGATTCTGTCTAAAGATATCTATAACTTTAATAAAATTAGCTTTTTAATAGGACTCTGTACCACTACTAAGATTATTACTAGTAGTGAGTACTACAGCTAGACTAAGCTACTACAGTCTGAAAATCACAAATAAGTAACTGTAATTAAGACAGTAAATATTTCTGACTGAGCACTATCATCATACATTATTTTCAAAAATTAGAGTCTGCAGAAAGTTTAACTTAAAGATCTTTCAGAATACTAAAGACTAGATATTAGTATCAATAGTTAGATTATAAATAAGATAAAAATCAAGTAACTTACTAGACTGTTTATTTCTGCAGTAAAGCTATATCAGATTAACAGTTCTATTCTTCTTATTCTGGACAAGCATGGCAGTCATCTTACATCAGAATTTAATTAAATTTGCAAGAATAATGAAATTATTATACTCTGCATGCTACTATATTCATCATATTTTTTGTAGTTTCTGAATATAAGTGTCTTTGCAGTTCTAAAGCAAGTATATAGAGATCTAGTTCAACAACAAATATAACTGAAAGTTAATGCTATTCAAAAGATTAATTTCTTAGAAGCTTATTTTACAGTCTGTGCAGAAGCTTTCAAAGCTCAGAGTCTTCAGAATAACTTCAAGACTATTGAAATAGTATTATTTCAGTCTGACTATATTATTCAGCAGCTGAATATTCAACTTCAAACTTCTATTTCTTTATACAGCAGCTCTAGTAATTTAATTATATTCTGAATACTTTAAATATCTAGTAACCTGCAGCAATTACACCAGCAGACAGATAAGATTAAAGATTATATAGAAGACTAGCAGACTCAGAACTTTATGAAAAACTTTAATTAAATTATCAAGACTTGTAAATATAGCATAGTCAGTATTATAATTATAAAAAAGTAATACCAGAATATATTCAACACAAATAAGATAGAGAAGCAAAAATACAAGAGATCTAGATGCTGAATTCAACAAAAAGAAGATTTAACTAGTAAAGAAGTTTAAAGTCTTCTAGTTTTATCTGCAGAGCTTGCAGTATCTGTTGACCAGTCAGTTATTTAATTTTGCAAGCCTTTGCCATCTGAGCCTGCTCCATATTAACAAGCTCTACAACACTGCAGCAATTGTAATACTCTTAGGTATATAAGATTAAGATATTCTCAACTACATATAATTTAATTTAATTTAATTGAGTGTTGTGGTGTTAAGATATTTTGAATTAAAATCTAGTTAATTGGAATATGATAATTTTAGCGTCTAACTCAGTGTGATATCTGGTTTGATGTGGAATTATGTTATATTAATAATTTTTACTAACAACTACTGACATTAATCTACAGAGGTATGGAACAAAAGTTCCTGGAAACTCTATTTTGTTACAATGTATTGCAGTTACCTGCTGCCTCACCAAAATTTAGTAGGGTAGCAGGTATTTTCTATTATTCAACAAACAGTCTGACTTCTATCTTTTTCCAAATCTTTCCAAATTTAAAACATCAAATTTGTCTATCATGCCTTCCAGAGAAATCTCTCTCTATAATAAGCTTGTTATATAAATTCAAGCTCTTGCTTTAATTTCTTATAGAATTTCTATCTTAGATGTTTCTTATACTTTTCAGACTTCTTCTTCTACTCTTTATAATATTCAAAAGCAAGCAAAAGACCATGGCTTTAATCTCAAGAATAACTTTTAAATTTCTCTTAGTTATATGGAAGATGCCTTTAGATCAGACTGATTAAAGAAAATAAGTATTAAAAAAGTTGAAATCATTATCTCTGTAACTAATAGCTGCTTAGAAAGAGAGAAATCTACTGAGATTCTAGTATTTAAAGCTAGTATACCTTATTCAAGTGTTTTATAAATTCTTAAAAAACACAACTTTATTATTGTCAAATTAACTTGGAAACTAGATCTAACTAAATCTATAAGGAAAAAAAGACTCAGATTCTATCTTATCTATAAGAACTAAACTCTAAAGAACTAAAAAAATATTATCTGAACTGATAAGCTTTTGTAGTTCTTGAGTATAGAAGAAAAGCAGTTCATGTATAAAAAAAATTTTTCAAAAGCTTATAATTCTATCTGTATATATTAGTAATAAAAGAAGTTCTCAGATTTCATATTTTAAGATTACTTTATGTACAAGAAGAAGAAACTCTGTTATATTTGAAAATCAAAGACTGCAGCAGTCAAATATCAAGCTTAAAAGAAACTAAATATCTTGAATATTAACTCTGAGATAAAAATAAGAGAGAAATAAAAGCTTGTTAATAGAATTTACTGTTTATAAATTTATTCAAACTATAAAAGAAAGCCAACTTTCAAATTTACTATAAAAACTGGCAAGCTTGTCTGATAAGGCAAGAGAAAAGTTGATTAATATAGATATCAGAAAATGTTAAGATTATATTATCTTACTATTAAATTCTCTAGCTAATCTGATACTTCTTTCATTTCAGAAGATTCTTCTTGTTAAATTATTTTCTTTTATCAAGAAATCTCTTGAATCACAACCCAATACTGTTATTCTAGAAGATAAAGCTTTAGTATATACTTATTTTTACTAATAAGAGCTCTACAATATACACAAGATTAATCACTTACTTTAGTCTAGTAATTCACCAGATTTAAATATAATTGAGCCTGTCTGAATATAGCTCAAGTAATATATAACTACTAAAAATGTTCTACAAGAATCTAAGACCACTGAACATGAATAAAAGAAAGCCTGGAAAGAGCTGTCACAAGTAAAGATTTAACAGTAGATTGAGTAGATTTTATATTATATTCAAGAGATTATATGCTTGAAAGGAAGTAATGAGTATAAAGAGAGTGATTATAAGATGTCTCACATATAAAAGAGTCAACAGCTTAAGAAAAAGCTCTCTTAACAGCAGAATCTTGAGACAGATTCTTGAACAGCTAGTCTAGAGACTTTGAAAGCTGCTGAAGCTCTAGCTGCTCTATATAATTTGGGTAAAGAGGATCCTTGGAAGGATACAGAAGATGAAAATTTGGAACAGAATTTAGATAAGAGTGACTAGTCAATTTCAGGGGTACTTTGAGTTTCCTAGCAAATTTGGTGGGGTAGTAGATATTTGTAAAACAGTATTGTCTGTATAAGCTTTCCAGGAACTTCTGTTCCACACCTCTGTACAAGCGAGCGAGCATCCCCGAGCGAGCAGCCAAATCTCCATATTCCAACTAATTAAATTTTATTTCAAATTATCTACGCTCAACAACCCCTAATTGAATCAAATTAAATTAAACTAGGATTAGGACATCTTATTCTTGTATGCCCAAGTATATTGCAATTGCTGCACCTTGGTGGAGCTTGTGAGCACAGTGTAGGCTTAGGGATTGAAGACTTGGGGGGTTGAACAACAGGCTGTTCAACAGACTTTCAGCAGGTGGAATAGCACATAGCAAGCTCAGCAGCTTCTTCTCTAGTTAGTTTGGCTTAGTGCCTGCCAATTCGGCGGTTTTCGGAACAGTGGAACCACGGCTCCGACACGATTCAAGGTTTCGCTGAAATGTTCCATCTTTCTGCCACCGTTGGACTCGCTACATTTGGCTGCGACCATAGTAAATCTCTGCATCACTTTGCTTTGTGGGCAAGCCACTCGGGGTCAACTCCAAACAGAGAACGCCTCGATGCTGCCTCATGCGAGGGGAACTAAATAATTGAAGGGTAAGGCCGATACATATACACTGCGCGTGCCTGCTAATTCATGGCCGTAATAACCAATGAGCAATTGGGTACTTTTGGATTT